AGGATGAGTTAAGGCACAGAAACTCACAGGGGCAGTTCTGCCCTGTCCTGCAGGGTCATTCGGAGTCAGCACGGACTCGAGGGCTCTGAGTCTGGATGTTGCTTTGGTTAATGAGCCCTGGTGGTGTTGTGGTTACAAGTTGGGCTGCTAACTGCAAGGTCAGTGGTTTGAAACCTTTCTGAAGGAGAAGACTGGGCTTTCTGTTCCTGAGAAGATTTAGTCTCGGACCCTCACAGGGGCATTTCTACCCTGCCCTATAGGGTAAGCATCGACTTGATGACAGTGGATTGGTTTTGGTTTTAATCTATGTTAGAATTCTGCAAACGGATTTTGAATTTTCTTTTTTTTTTTTTTGAATTTTCACTGTCATCCATAGTGTTCTGCAAATGATGTGCTCAGAATTTTAGCTCCCATATACATATAAAAAAAAACCATACAAACAAAACAAAACAAATTTAGCTCTTGGTCTAATATCAGCTTTCTTCCATGATTATTTATGTTTAGTTTTTCTACTTCGTTTGCATTTCTATTGATGATCTATATTTCATCTAGTACTGTGTTTCATTACAGTCCCTTAGAATTCCATGTTATAATTATAAAATATTCTTATCCTGTTTTGTGTATTTATGTCTTTTTTTCTCTCTTAATTATGCTCCATATGATTTCTTTACCAGTTTTATATTTTGCTTGTTCCCATCCCCAAAGAACCAGATCTTAGACTTACTCATCAACTTCAGTTTTAAAATTTTTAAATAGTTCTTTTTGCTTTTAACTCTCTTAATTTCTTCTATTTGCTTTGCTGTGACTTTTCCTCTACATTTTTGCCTGGTCTGCATTGTTAAAGGCATTTCAACCCTTACTCTCCCCACCTCTCCCCACCCCCAGTGGAAAAAGTGCTTAAGGAGATGCATTTTCTTCTGAGCACAGCTTTGGCTGCATTCCATAAACAGTCTTTCATTGGGCTTTTTAAATAGTCTATACTTCTGGGGTTTTTTTAAAACATTTATTTAATGAGGTACAAACGCATACACAAAATCAAATATATTAAAAAACAAAAAAGCAGAATTCCAACACCATGATTAAGAAGCAGATTGTGACCAACAGCCAGAGCCAGCTACATAACTGCAGGGTCTGATGCAAGGCGGAATGAATGCACAGTTCCTTGTAAAAGTTTAAGAATTTTCAGATGTAAAAAAAAAAAAAAGTTCAGATGATGACAGGCAGTGTCATGGTCAGGTAGAGGTTGATATGACCTCTCCCAAATGCCTCATGTGATCCATTCCCCCAGTCATACCTGGAGCAGGTGAGCCAACAGAGTCCCGCCACCTGTTATAAAATCCAGTGTCGTGCACCTAGATGTCTTCCTCAAGTGGTAAGGGGACCCTCTTGATAATGTGTCAAAAGTTAACAAGACTTCTAAAGAGCATACTGGCTGTACTTCCTCCAGGGCAGATTTGTCCATCGTTCTTCTAGCAGTCCTGGGATTGGGAAGGGTGGGTTTGAATCTCTGACTTCACAGAAATCAGCAGGCCTGCATTTACCCAGCACCATCATCAGCTCCTGCATTCATAGATACTCACTGCCATCAAGTGATGCCAACCCATAAGCACCCCAAAGAACCGCCCCTGTGAGTTTCAGAGACTGTATCTTCATGGGAGTAGAAAGTCCCGTCTTTCTCCCTCAGAGAGGCTGCTGGTGGTTTCAAACCGCTGGCCTTGTGGTTTGCAGCTCAGCAAGCAACCACTACACCACCAGGGTGCCTAACATTGGATAACAGAAGATCGGAAATCTTTTTACAAAATGCCGTTTGCTTGAGGTAGAGGACTTACAGTTGAGATTCTCTCTTCAAAACAATAACGATTTTTGTTTATTTTTCAATAGATCACAGGAGCTCATGATAAAAAAAATTTTAAGCACAAAAAGGTCAGCTTGAAGTCTTCCTCTCACCCCAACCTTCTAGTTTCTTCCCCCAAAAGCAACCAACACAATTGATTTCTTGGTGTAGCCTTTTGGATATTGCAAATATACTTTGTGAGAAATGACTTTAAATACTTTATAATCAATCTATCATACTCAGGAGACCTGGTGGCGTGTGGGTTACGGGTTGGGCTGTGATCTGCAAGGCCGGCAGTTCGAAACCACTAGAGCAGTGGTTCTCCACCTTCCTCAGGCTGCGACCCTTCAATACAGTGCCTCATGTGGTGGTGACCCCCAACCATAACATGATTTTTGTTGCTACTTCATCATTGTCATTTTGCTTCTGTCATTTTGCCCCTGTGAAAGGGTCGTTCCACCCCCAAAAGGGTTGCGACCCACAGGTTGAGAACCGCTGCACTAGTGGCTCCTATGGAGAAAGATGGGGTTTTGTACTCCTGTAAACAGTTAGAGTCTTGGAAGCTCGCAGGGGCAGCTCCAGCTCTATAGGGTCGCTATGAGTAGGCATTGACTCGACGCAGGGAGTCTGGTTTGGTTCTACATGAGTCATGCACCACCATTTGTCTGTCAGGCTGTCCTACTGTTGTTGCATGTTGCCGTGACGCTGGAAGCTGTCACTTGTGTTGAAAATACCAGCCGAGCCATGCAAGGGGAAAGAAAGACCTCTAGAAGCTTAGGGAAGCCAACGTTCTTGAGAGGAACTCAGACAGTAGGCAGTTTCCCCCTTTAAAAAAAAAAAAAAGGGAAAGGTTAAATTTATTTAAAAGCATTACTGATGTCATAGTTTTGAACCTATTGATATCTTTTCCATTAAAATTCCCAAAGCATTACAATGTAAAGAATCCATAAAACATTTTATGAGGAGAGGTTTTACATAATGGTAAAATTAAAAATGATTTCAATTATCTTTTTTTTTTTAAGTTTCCTAAAGTGAGTGTTAATTTGGTTATAAGTTACTTGGCTTTAACTCTAAAAGGTCGAACACCAATCCCATGGGTGTTGGTAATAAGATGTTCTAAGCAGATGACCCCACCTAGAAAATAAATCACCTGGATTTCAGAAGTGGTCAGGCTTGAAAGGAAATGTTAAGGGCGTAAAACTAGAGACCTAGAGAAGTGGGGAGAGAGCATTTACAGAACATTGACTAGCGCACACAAAGACAAGGAGTTAGAGTTCTCTGTGCAGACCAATGGCTCCCTCAGGACCTGGGCAGCCCAGGAGTACACATTCCTCGCGTGCTGTATCACATGACTTCTGGGTTCCTCCCAGGACGCTCCCTTTTCTGGTTTCATCCATCAGGGCAGTGCACTTTCAAGAGCTCTCTGAGGAACGTGGGGAGCGGAGCACCACACCAGAAAGTGTTTCAAGCAGGTGGCTCAACCTCAGCCCCACTTGGTGGTCCACGTGGAGATGGGAGGGCAGGAGAGACGGGTTTTTCCCTTTGTAGTGGCCTCAGGGGCCCACTTTGAGATAAAGTAGGGATGTTTTCCTCAGACTAAAAGGTTTGCCTTGGGCATTGTCTGGATCCTACTGCAAAGGGCTGTGCTCCAATGAGGAAGCCTGTGGCGTAGGAGTTTATGAGTTGGGCTGCTAACCACAAGGTCAGCGGTTCAAACCCACCAGCCACTTCTTGAAAGGAAGATGAGGCTTTCTGATCCTGTAAAGACTTATGGCCTCAGAAACCCACTGGGGCAACTCTATACTGCCCTATAGAGTCACTAAGAGTCATACTCGACTTGCAGAGAGAGAGAGAGAGAATCGGAGTCCAGTCGGCTCCATTTACTGAAGTACACTCCTTTGTTGAGGTCTTTTTGGGATTTGCACTCCTTCTGTCTGTTGTGCCTGGTGAGACCCCATCACTAGTTTTATTAGCCCAGAGTGACTATGGCCACTGTCAACATATCAGCTAAAGTCTTCTCTGGTAAGGCCGGCCTAGCTCCCGAGTTCCCGTTCCCAGGAAGACGGGCATGGGACAGCCAGCAGTACTGCTGTGCCCTATTCTCTGGGTGGCAGCAGAAGGCATGTTCTTGTACTGTAACAGATAATTAGACCCAACACAACAGTCCAATTTAATCTTACACAACTCAGTCTGCAAAGTGGGCTGGGCAGGAAGAAACCGGACACTAAGGGATGCAGAGAGCTGGACGGGGGCCTGGGGAGCAGGCAGGCCTGGTGGGGCCCTGGGAGGTCTTCCCAGCAGCCCAGATGTGGGCGGGTGGCAGGAGTCTGCTCTCTCGTGAATCCACCTCCACAGCTCTTCCAAGCCTCCAAGGCCTCAGCCCCCAGTTGGGTCAGTGTTTAACAGGCTGTCAAGAATGGAGACCGGATCTGTGGGTGACTCAGCCCCTTGCTGATGTTGAGACTCACGGCGGCTGTGAAGGAAAATCAAGCAATTCCTGCTGAACCAAGTGTTGCCCATGGCACACCAGTAAATCAGGCCACTTTCAACAAGACTTCAAAGACCCTCATCAAAGACACTATTAAATAAAACAGCACAAGATCTTTCCCCCTTTGTACTGAAGTCTGAAAGAAAAACAGCTGATTTCAGCAGGTCAGTAAACAAAGGCCTGCACTGAACTTGAGGGCGGGTTTTCCTGTGGTCAATCATTAGGCAGCCCCAAGTCAGGCATCATACACGTGGCGCTGCCACAAAGCCTCCCTGGAGCAGGCAGCTGCGGAGCGGCGGCGGGTACCTAACTGCACTGGCCTTGGAATCAGCTGGCTGGAGTGCTTTGCTGTGCGCAGCCCGAGGCCTGGCTAAGACACGCAGCCTCTCTGAACACTTAAATTTCCTCGTGTCTAAACGGGGATAGTAAACCCCATAGATCACACGAAATTGTTCAAAGGACTATCTAAAAAAAAGTAGTGGAAGTACTTGGTGCTTGATATGTTAAATATACTCTTGATATACTGTGTGTTGGATTATAGTTAATTTCATCTGTGGTTATTTCTTTAAAAAAATGTTTTTTCATGCTATATCTAACCACCCCCATCCCCACCCCACCCCAACCCCCACACCAATATAATAAAGCAAATAAAAGGTTACATTTTTAAAAATCGCTGTATTCAAAATTAATAATAAACTTTAGGGTAAATAAGCTTTAAAACAAAAGTACATAGGCAAAAATAAATAACTGATACCAACCCACTGACTTAATTGAAGAGTAAAGCCACTTCCAATTATAGCACAGCCACCCCCGACAACATAACCTGGGCCAAACTTGGATAGTCCATTATTTTAAAAACAGTAACAATAAAATAGAACTTTAAGTAAAATCTCTGGTAAAACCAAAGCACTGGATTTAACTGTTTAATTTTAAATAACCAAACCGTGTGATTTTATGCATAATCCAAGGTAATGCTAATACAATTAGCATCTCTGCTTGAAGAGCACATAACGGGAATGGGTGGAAATAAGGAACTTATAAATGCATAGTCTTCAAACCAAAGGATACAAATAAAAACAGACAAGTATACATTAGAACAAAACTGTAGTCTACTAAAGGTGGGGAGGGGGGTAGTCGAAGGCTTTACATTCTTTATTTATCCATGATGGCTTTTGGAATTGATTGTTTGACGTACAGAACGTTTTTTTCACAGTAAGTAAGAATACATCCTAAGACTCCATTTGGCCTTGCACGTGGACCCCAGGGGTTTGTGATCTGATAGAATAACATGAACAGTTACTGTAGAGCCCAATTTTCATACTTCCTGTGCACAATGAATCAATTTGGGAATCTATTCAAAGGGTCAGGTACACAAAGTGTCGAGAAGAAAATGTCCTCCCCTCTTGCATGAAAACGTGTACAGTGTGTGTCGGGGAATGGAGAACTTCTCGGTGTCCTGGACCTGGCTGCGTGGGCCTTTGCTGGCAGACGATGCAAGGCTCCTCCTGCCTTACTGCTCTATTGCTCCAAGGATTAATCATCCAGCCCTGGCGTGTCTCCTTGTTGGATCCTGGACGCTATTCTGATGGCTTCTTCCAAAGATGGCTGTTCTCCAAGCTGAAATGGGAACAGAAACCCAAGTCACACACCGGGAAGATGGTGCCAAAGAAAGTCTGTAACCTTCTAGTGATTTCTCTCGGTAATTCTGACAACCCTTGCGTTTATGGAGATACTACTAAGAACACAAAAGCAAACTCCCGCAGAGGCACGTGATGCCGTTTCATCAATCAGGATTTTGATAGCTTCTCACACGTGCAAGGGACAAATGATACGCACTTTGGCCAGTGGACACAAAGAGATGGAGAGATTCCTGAGCCTTTACATTCTATACCCAACAAAATGAACCAATGGCTGGCATTTTCCGGAGTGGATTCTAACGTCCCTTTCAAGTAAGCTCATGAAAAAAAAAGTTCTCACCAGGAAGTAATCTTAAGTGCTTACAGGCAATCTTCTGCACCTGATATTTAGGGTTCTATTTTCTGCTTGAATCCACCAACTCTTACTCAACACTGGCTCCTTCTAGGTCAGTGATTCTCAACCTTCCTAATGCCACGACCCTTTCATACAGCTCCTCATGTGGCTACTTCATCACTGTCATTTTGCTGCTGTTATGAATCGGGCGACCCCTGTGAAAGGGTCACTCGACCCCCAGAGGGGTTGCGACCTACAGGTTGAGAACCGCTGCTCTAGTGTCTTGAAATTTCCTTTAATACCACTGGACTTGCAGGGCTTCTCAGAGAATCCTGCCATTATTAGACATTTGAGAGTAAATAGGGCTTGTTGGGTCCCTGAAACTTTTTGTCCTTGCTATAAATTCCTCTCGAATATACCTAACCAGGTACACAGTGATATACAGAAAATATAGGCATATAGTGATTTCCTTAGAGCAGCCTGGGTTGCCAGGTTATCAGGTGTTGAAAATGGTGAGTGGCAGCAACGTAGTTGATGGGGACGCGCCCCTGTCCTCACCTGGACTGCAATCTGGGTGCCATTGGATGTTGCCACTAAGGTCAGAGGTCTGGTTTCTGTGGTTACCAAGTGATGGCTGTGCTGCTGGTGCCCCATTTCTGATGAGGCAGTGTGGAACGCTGCCAAGTCCTGAGCCACAATTGCAACCTTAAGAAATTTAAAAAGCACACATGGAGAATTAAGTATATGACTTAAATAGATCAAAATTCATTTGTGCAAGGGATTGTATTCAAATTAAAGGGAACACATAGACAAGCAACAAAATTCTTTTCTAACTACAGACTTGAAGAAGCCCAACACTAGAAGAGTTCTTATGCTATATACAATGTGTGCCCTGGACTTTTCATTTTTATTTGGGACTAGTGATATTCAGAGCAAAGGGACAGGGGAGATAGAGATCACTGTGGAACAAGTTGAGCTACATCAGGCTCCATTAGGCAGAGAGACCTGCCTGTACTTAGGTACCACTACTGCTGGGTTGGTTAATTCACATCTTAACTATTTATTCCCAGGGGTAGATAATATAGACTTTTCTCCTGTGTGAATCTCTTACAATTAGATTCCCCATTAGCTAAGAAAACTATAAAGACCAGTAAGCAGCATTACTGACAAAGCAACATTTCTTGTAGTATTCATTTTCCATTTTAGAGTCCATGAAATCTTTTCATATTCTTCTGAAACATTTAGCCAGAGTGATTGAAGGAGCTTTTATGGCTTGCAAGCCATAAATAGACCCTTTTATATGTAGACAACATAAAACAGTGGTATCAATTACTTTTATGATATCCTAAGACTTTATTCACTCAAACTTAAAGAGGACCCAAAACTCCAATCTTACTGCCAGTGGTCCATGCCAACTCAGTGACTTTAGAGGCCAGGATAGAACTGCCCCTGTGAATTTCCGACACTCTAACTGTTCCTGGAAATATAAAGTCTTTCTCCTTCGAAGGAACTGGTGGTTTTGAACTGCCAGCCCTGTGGACAAATGCCCAATGTGTAACCACTACGCTACCAGGTCAAAAATGATAATTGTTGTTTTCCTTGATAATTCATCTACTAAAAGTGCTAGATTTTTAAACTAATAAACATTTAACTTGAGCCCATAGCAGTTCCATAGTTTAATATATTGAAATACAGTATTGGTGGAGTACCTTATAGCAGAGGAACCCTCTTGCAGATAACAATGATAAATAAACTTGATATTTTGTAGTTTTGTCCCAAAATATCAACTATTTGAAGGGATTGGAGAGTAACCAAACGTAGGCCAGAACTAAAGGAGATGCTTGAGATAAGGGGTCCATATTGGGCTCTGCTGGTGTTATTCCTTGCCACTGAGCTCCCATCGTCTGACAGGACAACACTGCCCAGGCCCAGAGCACCTTCCTGGGTCTGAGGAACTCGTTGCTCCAGATTAGATGTCCACACTGTGTATGACGAAGTCTCGCCATCCCGGGAGCCCTCCTCTGGCTGTGCTTCCTCCAAAACAAATCTGTTTTGTTGTTCTGGTAGAAGTCCATGGAACAGTCAAGATTCTTTGCCAAAAACCACAGTTCAAAGGCACCCAATCTGCTGTGGCCTTCCTTAGTCAGTGTTTAGCTTTCACATGCCCAGGAAGAGGCTGGAAACACACCCTCGTCTTGTTCTGTAACACTGTGGAGAGGTCTCGGTGAGACAGATTTTCTCTACGCAGCACGTCCTTTGACTTCTGGACTGCAGCTTCCATGAGCGCTGATTGTGTGTGGTTCCTAGGACAATGAAATCCCCCCAGCTGCATGTTTTAGTTGCTGAATTCTATTGATCATATTGTCATCCACCCTGAAGGCTGCATTCTTTGCTTCGAGGAGTCTTGGCGTTCAGCAGCAAGGTTGTATCATCTTCATGTGGCTAATGACCCTTCCTTCCACCTCCATGCCATACTCTTCTGTGTAGACTCCAGCTTCTCAGCTAATTTGCTGAGCATAGACTGGATAATAATGCTGGGGGAAAATACATCCCCAGACACACACCTCTTCTGGTTTTAAACTAAGCAGTATCCCCTCGCTCTGTTCTTGGTCTATGTACAGGTTCCATGTGAGCACAATAAATCATTCTAAAATTCCCATTCTTCAAAAGGTTATCCATAGTTTGTTATTATCCACACAGTTGAATGCCTTTGCATAGTCAATAAAACACAAGTAAATATTTTTCTCATATTCTCTTTCAGCTAAGATTCACCTAACATCAGCATGATCCCTCGTTCTGCATCCTATTCTGAATCCAGTTTGAATTTCTGGTAGTTGCTTGTTGATATACTACTGCAATATACTTCTTGGATTATCTTCAGCAAAATTTTACTTGCATGTCATTTTAATGATGTTTAATGATGTTGTTAAATAGTATTTTATTAGGTCATCTCTCTTTGGAATAGATACATATATGAATCTCTTCAAGTCAGTAGGACACGTAAACGGTCTTCCAAAATCTTGGCCTAAATAAGGGAGTGCTATTACATCTTGCTGAAACATCTTCACCACCACCATTTCTGGATCATATACTACCTTTTAAAAATGGATGAACACAGACCAATTCTTCTGGCACAGTGACTGTGTATTCCTTTCAACATCACCCATTCATTTATTCATACCAGTCAAGTACAGTGGCGGGGCGGCATGTGGTCGAGTAAGACAAGGAGGTTGACCAGAGATTGCCTGGGAGCAATCATTGAGAAATCTTACTACTTTCAAATCAGCCTCGGCTATCTTTTTTTTTTTCTGTATCAGATAAAAAAAGACTTGCCTACAGAATCCTGCACTATTTCAACTCGAGGCTTGCATTTTTTTCTTCAGTTCTTCCAGTTTGATACATGCGGAGTATGTTCCTCCCTTTTGTTTTCTCTCAGTCTAGGGCTGTACACATTTCATTAGAATGCTTTGTCCTTTTAAGCTTTGAAAATGTTCTGCTCAGTTGTTTTGCTTCATCACTTCTTCCACTAGCTTTGGTTACTTCCAGAGCAAATGTCATTCTCTCTTCTGACATCACTTTGTTCTCTTTTTCTTTCTGCCTTGTCTTTTTAATGACCTTTTGCTTTCTTCAGCTATGAAGTGGGAAGGACTTCAAGTACTTGCTGATGAAAATCAAGAATTGCAGCCTTCAGTATGGATTACAACTCAATATAAGGAAAACCCAAATCCTCACACTCATTGCTCCTGGAACCAGCAGTCAAGAGATCAAATGACACATTGGATTGAAAAAAATATGCTGCAAAAGATCTCTTTAAAGTGTTGAAAAGCACGGGTGGTACTATGAGGACTAAAGTCTGCCTGATCCAAGCCATGGCATTTTTAATCCCTTCATGTGCACGTGAAAGTTGGGTAGTGACTAAGGAAGACTGAAGAATCAATGCCTTTCAGTGATGGTGCTGGGAAGAAACGGAAAGCCTCAAGCACTACCAAAAGAACAAACACCCCTGTCTTGAACTAAGTACAACCAGAAGGAGGCTCCTAGAAAGGAGGATGGTGAGACTTTGTCAGGTATCGGGAGACCAGTCGCTGAGGAGGACACCATGTTTGGTGAAGCAGAAAGGCTGCAGGAAAGAGGGGACACTCAACACGATGGACAGACACAGTGGCGGCAACAAGGAAGTCCAGCAGAAGCGCAATGGTGAGGATGACGCAGACCAGGAGGGCCTGAATCTCTGGCGCCTTGTTTTTCACCAATGCCTTAGCAAAGCATAAAACCCAGTATCCAAAATAAATTGAACTGACTTGTAGAACAGAACTCAGTATTCCTTAGAGGAAGATAACAGAATCCAGAATCTACAAATTATCATCCACAAATTCCAGAACAGAAAGTGGAGGAAAGAGATAGGAACAGAAAATGCAGTCAATAAAAGAGACCTGGAGATGATCAAGATGCTGGAGCTCATAGACAAGGGCTTTCAAAACAGTGATTTTAAGGATGTTCAAGAATTTAAAGGAAAAGATGGTTATACTAAATTTTCAGTAGATGAAATCTCACCAGATAAGTGAAAACGGTTTTTAAAGTGAAATTTGGAATTTAATTTTAAATTAAGTTAAAGAGAATAAACTTTAAAAAGTAGATTGCTTATGGGATAAGTAGGTTGGTGAGCTAGCCGTGGGAAGAAAACTTTTCACGATATGGCTGATATTTGAGCCATGTGAAGATATTACATACTCAAAATATCAAACAAATGTATTTATTTCACAAGTATCTGATGATGACAATGATAGCTACCATTACTGAACACTTAATGTGTACTTGGATTAAGTACTGTACATGAGTTATCTCAACCAATCCTTATATCAACCTTATGGGACAGATGCAATCATCACTCCAAACTTACAGACAAGGCAACTCTGAGGCTCAGAAGATGGGTTGATTAGCAAGCGAAAACTTACAAAACTAGAATTCAAGTTAAGGCTCATGTGCTTGACCACTATGCACACTGCACACTTATGTATCTGTTTTGACAATGAGGTATGTACGCATTCATAAACATAATAGAAAAATGCCACTACCTGCTGTCCTTCCGTGCCCTCTGCTGTGACCATGGCAACAGAATGTGTTCCTGCTGAGGAGATGACTGCGTCATGAGCTGGAACTGTGATGGGCGTGCCATCCTGCGTTACCATGGTTATGGTATTACCAATAGCTTGCATGTCGGCTTGAGAAATGTTGACCTGCACGCAATAAAATGAATGCATTTTACGTATCAGTCGATGCAGTTATATTTGGCAATCCTTATTAAGGATTAGGGTTAGTCTGTGTATAAGTTTACTCTATGGGAGCAAGAAGTTTTTTAGAATGGAATAAACTCCTAGGTGCCAAGAAAACCTGAACGTTTTTAAAATGTTATCTCTCCTCCTCTCCATTCCTCTTGATAATTTAGACCCTTAGTTCTTGCTCATCTGACTTTATGCAGTAATTCACTGTGCTCCAGTACTCCAGACTAGCCCCACCGAACCACCATTCCAGCATGCCATCTTTCTCAAACACATACACAAACGTCATATGTGCCTTGCTTAAATCTTCAATGGCTCCTCCCCCCCGCCCCCCACTGCTTCACCTAGAGTTCAGATTTCTCACATGGTTTTGCACCCTTGCCCTCGCCTCATTTCTAGCCTCTACTGACTTCTCCACTCTTCTGTCAGTTTCACAAACCAGCATTTGGTGCTCCAGCACAGCCAGTCCTTTGCAGTCCCAGAGTGTCAGATCCTGTTAAAGCTCCATGCCTTTGCCTTGCTCTCCATGCTGCCTGGTGAGCTTGTGAAAAATCCTTCAAACCAGGCCTAGTGGTCTGAGAGACTGGTGGAACCCAAGACCATGGCTGTTAGTCATGCTTCCAGCCTGGAACGGAACTCATCCCTACCACTCAACTTTCTGCCAAACAGGACAGGTCTACGTGGTAAACAGTAATTCCAAGGAGTATTAGAGCAATCCTTAGAACAACCAATCATACAAGACGAACAAGGCAGCGCTTGCCCAGGGATAAACTGAGAAGACAAGAAGAGTTAGGAAATAAGGGCAAAGGGAAATGAGTGAGTGAGGGAGGACGGGGAAGAGCTGTCATATTGTATTCTAGGGATTGTAGAGTGCTGTGAATCAAAATGTAACATTGAATGGGAAATGACTAGCCTCTGTGGACTACAAATAAAGAGAGTCCTTTGAAATCTAACTGGCCATTCTCGATGAAGGGCTCCAAGACTCTCATTCAAGAAGAATCATTTACTCCTCCTGCTGGGCTGTATCATTATGCTGTGGTTTTTGTTTAGTTTTTAAACACAATTTCATCATTTCCATGTGTTACATGTGTGTGTACATTACTTATGTGGGACCATTATTTGTGAAAAAGATGGTAATCGTGTAAGTTCAAGCTCTAAGACGACTGGATTTATGATATGTGGATGACTTACCAGTAAAACTGTTTTTTAAAAAAAAGAGTTCAAGCTCTAAGATAGGCAGTGAGGGCGAGGGTCTTCTGTGAAAGAGACAGCTGAGGAAGGGTCAGGAACCGTATGCGCCGTGTCTATTTCCACCAGGCACGGCAGCAGCCTTGGGTAAAACCAACAATGACTCAAGTCTGAATCGCTTTAGGCTCTAGTGGGATCTGGTGCACAACACACTCGACTGCGAGGGAACAACCGCTGCGATGAGGTTTCTCGGGGAATCAAGATTCCTGGTCCACCAGCTCTGGGAAGCCAAGTGAATGAACTCTCATGACCCCCGGAAGCGTGAGAGTCACATTTCAGCAATTTACAGGAATTACCGCTCACTGATTTCCAGGATCATGGAACGACAGACACCGTTATAATCCCACCCCCTTGACCCTGGTTCTGCTGATTTCTCCATCTCCCCTCCTAGAGCTAATATGAGCATAGAGATCACTCTTCAAGCCCTCACATCCGAGCTGCCATGGACACATTTAACTGCTTAAGTCCAGGTTCAGAGACATGCTCGTTAACTCGCTTTGTTTTCAGTGGGTACTTACATGCTGGGTCCCATCCTGCGATATGAGGGTAACTTGCTGACTCAAGCCAGATTGGGTGACTGTGGCTACTTGTGCAGACACAACATCCTCTCCTTCTACACCTGTAACATATGTGATCTGGGGTCCTTTAAGAACATCTTCGCCTTGACCTGTTTAGAAAGCAAATGAATCATTTATTTGATCAACCAACTAAGCTGTTTAGAAAGCAGATGGCATTGTATTAGATATTAAAAAGAAAACTGTACAAATTAAAATGTAGGCAACATATTCTATTCTGAATCATAAAATGGCTTCCAGCACTTCCTCTTGATTCCTCCACCTCTCCTTTTGCAAAGTCAGCCAAATCAAACCCAAGCAGCCCAACTGAACCAAGTGCCCATCACATGGACAGACCTCTTTTGTTTTTCTCAGTTGGAGTGATTGTGTAATATTGTGCTGTGTCAGACCCAGAGAGGGGAGGAACTGCACAGGAAAACTAGTAAATGACTTACCCCAAAAGATAAGCAGCATATACTAAGGTCACGCATTTATGTTAGGAGATGTTAAAAGTGATAATCTTCAAAAAATGTTAACCACAAAACCTGAATGGTTTGTAAACACAACCTCTGGATACTAAAATACCTAGTCTTTAACACAAGCAATTTCAAGTCAGCAGTACACAATGACACCATTGTGCAAAGACAATGTAACGACTTATTATCTGGGGCAAGGTTAATCATTTAACAAGCAGCAGAACAGAAACCCCCATCCACTTCTTTACTTTAAAAAGAACTGGCAAAAAAAAAGAATCAGCAAGTAAATAGCAATTTCACAGTCCATTACTGCGCTACCTGGCAACCAAGATTACAGACCCCTCCTTTCCTCCATTACTTTCTATCTCTTGCGAAGCCAGAAGAGGACAAATACCGTGGGCTTTTGTTTCTTGCAAGAGAAGGACTTAATATGCTAAGCTAAGAGTCCTTCTCAAAGGCGGCAGCTGATACAGGCACTCATAAAGCTGCCATGCTCACGGTGTAAAGTCCACAGTCACTGCTCCTGTCTTTGGGTCCTGTCCCATAGGTACTCACGGACCACTAATCTAAAGACTACAGGAGCCAGGGGCAGGTGTGAGAGAAAAAGAATGCAAATCCATCCCTACTTTCCTACTGAAAAAACAATCTTATGTTTTGCTTTTTTTTTTTTTGGCCTTGGTGTTAATGCATATTTTCTTTTCTTTTCTTTTTTAAAACATTTTATTAGGGGCTCATACAACTGCTATCGCAATCCATACACACATCAATTGTGTAAAGCGCATTTGTACATCATTCTCAAAGCATTTTCTCTCCACTTAAACCCCCGACATTAGGTCCTCATTTTTCCCCTCCCTCCCCGCTCCCCGCATATTTTCTAAAATACAAAAAATTCTTGACAACGTTTTAAAAAAAAAATCAGCATTTATAGAAGAAGCTTAAAAATGGAACTGTCTTATAACTTAAGTTTGGTGACAGTAAAGGCTACCTTTATTGTTGTACTCTCTTGTACTCTCTAGCAGTAGTACACGTTTCCAGTGGTTTGGGCTAGACACTACAGAACGCTCGAGGCTGCAGGGATTGCCATACTCTCACTATTACAAACCCTTGAAGGACAAATTAATAGGACAGGGAGTCACTGGATCAGGCAGCACATGATGCTCACTCCTTTCTTCTCCAACTAATTTTTCACCTAAATGATTTTCACAACCTCAGTATTAATTGTTACAAACAGGAAAAGTCTACAGTTAATAGTGGTGACGACCGCACAACGCTTCCTAAGACGGAACTACTGAGTTGCGTGATATGCTACATGCCACTAAAATTGCTCCAACGACAGGACAAGACGCTTAACGTTTACAACGTGCTTCATTTAGGAGGTACTCACTGAAATGGTAAGACAACCTGTGAGCTTTTCTGTTTTTTTCAAGAAAATCCTTCTTGCTTCTTTCAATGATTTGACCTTCTGTTCAAGATGCTGAGTCATTTAACTAAAATCACAGAATGTAATTCTCTAAATATTTTTCTAAATTTATTTCTAGTGAAATGAATGCTTTTGACTGCTGAAACACCACAGATGGCACCTGAATCAACACAGAGTTATTTGAGAGTGAGCTCTCGTGAATAAGAGCAAGACATTCAAGCCACTGGCAAGGCCCTGAGCAGCTGGCCGGCCCGCCTCGCTCTCCAGCCTCACTGCACACCACGTTTCCTGGTCACAGGCCTGCGGCATTGGCTAGGCTTCCTTCAAGTCTCTCCAAATGACTCTGCCCCTTTCAGCCCCGGGCTTCTGCAGGTGCCATTCCGTTTGGAATGTTCTTTCTGCCTTTGTTCCTTACTGCCCAGTCCCCACACTTACCTGTGTCTTCACCTGCTTAACCTCTGCACACCCTCTAGATCTCTGTCCAAAAATCACACCCTCAGCAAAGCCTTCCCTGACCTCTCAGTCTGTTTCCCTTCTTATACATCCAAGTGTACCATGTACTTTTCCTTCACAGCATTTACAAGATGTCAATTCTAGCCCGGATTGATTGTTAGGCTGCTTTACTCATGGCTTGGTACAAAGGTGCTAAATATATATTTTTGAGTACAGTGAACCCTCATTTATCGCGGTTAATCGGTTCTAGACCCTACCGTGATAAATGAAATTCCGCGAAGTAGGATTCCTTATT